GTTTGTCTTACCTTAAGCTGTTCCCGGGCAGCCAGTTCTTTCTCATTAACCTCTTGCAACATCGGCAACATTTGCTGCAACGTATCTGACGTCACGCGCTGATCATAACCCAAGGCAAAGAGTAACTGTTCTAAGGAGAACATAGCTGGTTCGCAGCTATCATGTATGTCCTGGAAAGTGAAAAGAACAATTAAAAATACATACGCAAATCCGCCATACGTTTTAAGAACTTACTCTGAAATCATCTTTTGCCAAATCCAACCACGATGTAGTAGCAAAGTAAACGCTCTCAGAAACTACGTAGCCAGTAGCCAAGCTGGAGGTATAGGCACGGGGAAAAACAACAATGAATTCGCCTGGTTTCTGCTCGATACGGCATAGCGACACTCCCCGATCGGTGAGCATGTGCGGTGGAACCATAACCGTGTCACAAGGTAGCCAAATTGTCTTATTTTGGCAATGCGTGGGAATGAGCGAAGTAAGTGCCGAACGGAAGTTTGCGCTCTGGTCATCTGGAATGCCGTACCACAGTTTTGAAGCACCTGTGTGTAGGTATTCAATCCATGAGAGTCCATGTGGATCGCGATACCAACAACAAGCGGAGAACAGCATGCCCACATGCAGAGTCGGTACAGTAACGCCCATTACGGGACCAAGTGAGCGCAATACCGAGCCTGGATTATTTGTCAGCACTTTTAGATTCCATGGATGCCGCGCATAATTCGACCCTTTGCTCTTTGGGCCAGGGCTGGGGAAACCATAGCCCCAGCCAGATGAGTCGATGGAACCAGAGTGTACGCAAACGTGACTGTCACGCACAGCTACATGACGCCAGAACTCGGCCTCTACTTCATTAACAATGGGTTCGGTGTTCTTAAACCATAGCGCCATAGTGTTCCGCGCAATGCGATAGAATTGACTTAGCGGCATACTGCGGCCTTTCACAATACACTCCATGGACACGCCGTCTACCTCCTCCTCCGACTCTTCATCATCTTCTGAAGATACATCATCTTCTTCGTTGGATACGCTTTCAGTATTCACAAAACGATCGGCATTTCTTCGAGCGCGAGCCTCGCGTTTGGCCCAATCTGCTTCAACCTCATCGAATAGTTTTTGGCGCTCAGCTGGCGACAAGGTATCGTAAGGGAGCAAATATTTGCAATATATGTCATCAAGTTTCGTAACACGATCCTGTGCCAACTTCGGAATGCACATCTCCTCGGCAACCCGTGCCCATTTCTTTTTCTCGATCACCTCCTTTAAACCACCCAACTCTTGCACGGTATGATATAAGCGCGGTAGATCAACTTCCATGCCCCCAATCCAAGGTGGATGATTCATTACGATGCTCTGCGTTGCTAGATATTTCTTTATTGCACTTAACTCCTTCGCACTTGGACCCCAACGATGGAGCATCTTATGCACATATTGATTGTAAGCTGTAAAACGCATTTCATCCGATATGCGGCATTCTGGTTTGAATGTCGCAGGAGGTATTATTTTGCAAATGCCGAATCGCGCAGCAATGGGAGTGATACGTTCAATGAAGTCTATAGGGTCGGCAAACTCCTTTTCCGTTGGCCGGAAAATGGGCGCCTCTACCATCTGAGTGGGATCATCGTGGCGCGGAAAAGCAGTGTTATTCGACATTTTTATTGGTGTGTCATCCTTGAATTTCTTGTTTGCGCCATGACCTGATGGACCGGTACCTGCCGCGCCCATGCGAGATTTTGCCGAGCCTGAAAAAAGTGAGGAGTTGGAATTGACACGAACTAATCCACTTCCCATGCTTGCAGCAGCCGCTGCAGCGGATGTTGATGGCTGATTGGCAACGTCTACGCCTCCTTTAAATCTGGGCTGAACAGTTCCGATCGGAACATTTTTCAAGCTATTTGATGATGATTTATCCATGTTTGCCGCCGCTGCCGAGGATGCAGCCGAGGTTGTAGCGTTAGTTTTCTCACCCTTTTTCGCGACTTCATCCACAGCTGTATGCGCACTAGACACTGCTGCCGACGATATTGCCTGCGAAGTTGGTATCAGAGTTTTTACTATATCCGCTACATTCATGGACTCCGGTAGTGGTTTGGAATTCGATCCCATTTGAGCTTTTGTGACCAAAGTTGCATGCATTATAACCTTTTGATTTGGGCCATCGGGACCCTCTCGTCCTAATTTTACAGCAACACCTTGGATGCCACCTTCGCCATCACCACCTGTTCCAACACCTTGCAGTGGAATATAGAATGTATGTCCCTCCGAGTCGGAATCGGCATCATTATTTGCAGTTTCCTGCTTCTTGGCGCCTTTCGTTACCTTTGTAGTAGGAGCCTTGCTGCTTACTCCAGGTTTCTCAGAATCTAAACTTACTTTAACGAGTTTACAATTTTCTGAAGGACTCAGCGTTAAGGAGACTGAGCTGTTTTGGGATTTACCAGCTATTTCTTTATTAGGCTTCTCATTAGTAGATGCTATTGAGGCACGTTTCTTTCCCGGCGATGTTTTACTCGTTGGAGGAGTGTTTGGAGTAGATTCATCATTTTGCGAGTCTCGACCACTTTGACGTCTAAATGCTGGCGCTGAGTGCAGTTTGGTGCCCTCCGCTTCATCATCATCCTTGTCAAAAGAGTAAATGGATTTTTCGTTATCTGCGGAAAATGCACCGTAGGAAAATGGCGCAGTCTTCTTGTGACTAGTTGTAGTAGTTTCCTTCAGTTCCATTTGCTTTTGTTGGTTTTTCTGATTATAAACGGGAGTTCGCCTCGGCGTTTTTGTTGCCGCGGAACTGCTGATTGGAAGAGTAGTCAATACAGGTTTAGATGGAGTGCCATTTTTCTCTTCTAATGCGGGGACCACCGTTGTGGGTACGGTGTTCTTTTTGCGGTTTTGCTTGGACGCTGGAGTGATGTCTGTAGTCGATGGAGGATAAGCTGTTGGCAGCTGCGACTGCGGAAGCTTCCCAGCAGAACTTTTGGATATTGCACTGGATGTTGTTGGAGCGTCTTTTTGTTTTTCAAGTTTATTTTGTTTATTGTCCTTGCTCACAGAATCGTTAGCCGCTTTTTCTTCCTTGGGTTTCTTAATAGTATTTTTCTTATCTATTTTTTCAGAACGAGTTGTCTTTACGGGTGTGGGCGTTTCACTCCTTGTATTTGCACCTGAATTCGCCTTAACATTGTTCTTTTGCGTGAGATTAATCGCATGGCCAGTTGTTTTTTCGTTATCAGATGTAATGTCCATTGGATTCACTGTATCCAGTAACTTGCCATCGTCTTTTCGGTTACTTGTTGCGACTACAGGCGTTGCTTTTAAAGAAGGCCCTTTAGCAGACCAAGCACTTTCACTTTTACCCAAGTCACGTGTGGCTTTGGATGACGAACTGAAAGAAGTACTTTCCTTGTCATCGCGCGTAGGCGGTGGTGTGGTAGCGAACAGATTTGGTCGTAAATTATCATCAAAATCGTCGTCCAAATCATCTTGAATCTCATCTGGATTCGAGGAACACTCAATTAACCACTTCTGTATTTGTTCATGCGTCATGTTAACCTTTGCTTTACGTCGTTCTTTGCTCGATAATTGATCACCAATGTACCCCTCAGTGGGTACAACGGGACCCAATACTGGTTTGTGAATAGAGCCACACTTTCCCAACGTACACTTAGTATTGTCTGGTCCCGAACTTTGTGCTAGGCTAACGCTAGCAATTCCAAATACTTTGCCAGATTCCTCTTTACTGGGCATTAGACTGGCTGTCAGGATGCTCCCGATTTCGTCTTTTAATGGATCTGCAGATGAAGCTGCTGCTCCGGCAGTAGCCGAGGTATTTATACTGGTTGTTGCAGTTATCGCTACAGATGTTCCTGATCCGGGAATTGTCATTTTCGAAGTCAAAGTCGAACTGCCAAGTCCCCCTTTCGTGACCGCGGACAGTTCAAATTTCACTGGAGATGGAGAGGGAAAATTATTTGTACGGGGTAAAGTTGTACGGTCGAATTTCGGAGTTAAGAAATTTGGATTAATTTTCGGCGACGGATACGCTTCGATTGGTGGTGGGTAAGTTGTTGGAGCAGCTGGGTATTTTAATGGTGACTGGGGTGGAAGTGGCGCCTGCAGATGTGGTGGTAATGTTACAGAGCCCGTGGGAGTTGGGGGTACCGTTGGAGACTTTGCCGTTGGAAATGGATGAGGAGAAGGACGCACATGTGGTGCATGATAGTGCGGCGAAGCTGGAGGCATATATGTCGGCGTTTTGTTAAAGCCAGAATTCATTGACATATTTACGCTTGATGATGGCGGTGTAGATGAAGGTATTGCATAAGTTGCGGGAACATTTAATATCTTAGATGTTGGAATAGGTGACTTCTTTTCAATTGTTTTAAAAGGGCTTGGGATTTGCGGGGTCGTACTCTGTGGCACCGTTGCTGTAATTGGGGAAGCGCTGGTCACTGGAGTAGGTGGGTTGAGGGGTGGAGTAGAAACTGGTTTAGTAGTAATGGGTAACATCATCAATTGATTCGGCGGTGCAATGTTTTGCGGAGTACTGTCACATTTTCTTGAATCTGAGTTTTCAGAGTCTTTATCATTTGATTTGATATTTGCTTTAATAGCCAGGGGTTCATCATCGGAATCACTGAAACTTTTCTCAAGCTTACGTTTCGTTTCATTTACCTCTTTGCTTAACAGAAAATCTTCGTCGTCAGAATCAGGTCTACTGAGCTCCGATTTCTGTTTATTATTAGGTACCCTTTCCATAGGAGGGAGTATTTTCGCTATTGCTCCTTTTTTAACAAGCATTCCTTCGATTTCTCGTTTAATAGGTGGATGTTTAGATTGTTTAGGTGGGCGACCGCGTCTTCCAGTCGTTTGCTTCTCGACAGGAACCGATGGTTCTGTTACTGTTAGATTAGGAGAATCTCTCTTGCCGACGGATGCACTCGATGCTGCATTTCCACCTGCCGTTGCTGCGTTCTTTTTCAACTCATTTTCCATTTTTTCCATTTCTTTGACGTTTGGTCGGTCTGGAAAACTATTCAATGACAAATCATCATCTTCGTCTTCAGCGAGTTGGAGCTTATGCCCTATGATTCCCATGTAGATAGCAGCTGCCTCTTTTGTTTTTCTTGACGGGCGTTGAAGCCGTGCTTGTGCACTTGCTATGGTTTCTTTCTCCTCCTCACCATTTACAGCGGAAATGTCTGACTTAGATTTTTTATTTGAGAGCTGGCGTGCGGGTGACTGCTGAAGAGAGCTTTGCGCTATTTCTCTCTCTATTTCTACTTCTACCTGTTCATCTGCTTTCTTTTTTGCCGCTCGGCCTCGACCTCTGCCTTTACCTTTTGTGGTAGTTTGCTGTTTCTCATTCGATACATCCTTTCCATTGCCATTGGAAATAGAAGTTTTTTGAAGATCTACTTTCACTTCTTGAGTTTCTGTAGCATTGCCCACTTGCGTTGTTTCCATTTGTATAGCATTTGATTTTTTTTGAGTTACATGTTTTGGCGTCTTTCCTGCACGGCCAGCAGCTTTTTTAGGATTTCCTTTGGTGCCCTTTTTGAGCTTCATAGACTTTGCCAATGGCTGTTCATCATCCGACGAGAAGTCAAAGACATTCAATCTATCTTTATTTTCAACATTCAATGAATCACCTTCCTGTTTTCTTCCCTTCTTTGTATTTTTGCTTAATTGTTGTATTTGGGGAATATCTACTGCTGCATCTTTATATGATTTAATATCCATACTCTCAGTTTTATGTTCTTCTTGGGCAGTTGTTTCTTCTCCAATATCTTCTGTATGTATCACTTTTACTGGTTCAAAAAAGGCACGCTGCCTTGTCATTCGGCCTGATGGTTCGGGCGATGGTATAAATATTGGTGATTCTTTTTGTCTCGGACGCTTTAATGGAGCTTTTTCTTTAGCTTTTGGTTTCTCTTCTGGCTTTTGAATTGGTTTCAAAACTTGTTTGGAAGAATTTAATTCCTCTTGCATATCTTCAGGAGTATCATCTGTACCTTTTTTCGCTGCCGAAGAAGCCCTGCCTTTTCGTAGACGTCCTGTTTCACTTTCCTTCGATGGCGTTTCTGATTTTCGTTCCTGTATTGTAGGTGTTTTCGACTTCTTTGCATCAGTTTTGCGCACTGAAGATGATTCTTTTTCTGAATCCTCAATTTTGGTGGCATCATCTTTTGCTGAATAAAATTCATCGTCCTCCTCACTTTCATGTTCAGCAGGTTGCTGGACTTCTTTTCGAACGCCCCTATTTGACCGTCTCTTTGTATCTGGAGAATTATTGCACTTATCACCTTCTGTAGAACTACCGGGATGTCGATCTGCCGAGGGCCGTCCTCTGCGATTGCCTCCAGCAACTACTTCAGCACGCTTTCTCACGGCAAATGATATAACACTATTATCAGCTTCCTCAGTTTTATCTTCTTCTTTTGTAGAGTCTGCTTTTATTGGTTCATCTGCTTTGGTTTCAACATCTTCTGATGGTGCAACTACTGTAGATGCTGCATTTTTGGATGTGGAGGCTTTTGGTCCTTGTGTTTTTGAAGTGCTGCCTTTTGGTCGGCCTTTTTTACCTTTTTTCCCACCCTTAGCTGGTTTTGTGTGCATTTTCTTGACTGTGTCTTCCGCATCTTTAGATTTACCTTGATTCAAAAAGTCCAAGTGAGCAGGCAATGCGGGTGTTCCACGAAAGCACAAAAACGTTAAAAAGTCCTCCGTTTTAGGACGCTTGTTTGGTAAAATCTCAGTTGGGGGTTCCCGACTCTCAGAAGACGTGCTGGGACCTGTGTTTGAAGAAGATGAAGCAGCAATTACTGAGCTATAAGAAGATGTTGGAGCATTCTGGCCCTGGGCAAACTTCCGTTGTGCTTGAACTTTAGTCCTGTACGGTGAAAAATACAAATATAGTCAAAGATTAAACGACATATTACGACCAAATTTAGTATTTTTTTTTTACATGCATATACTAAATATGTATGTATAAGTATATAAGTACATAAGTATTTTATTAACATTTTATTCATTTCCATTAATTTTTTTACGCGATAGTTTTTAATATACTACATATCACAACTACATATCCCTGACCACAATTTAGATAGACCTTCTTAAGTAAAGCCAAGGCCTCCAAGAAGGGCTGAAAAAAGTGCTTCCTTGCATGCCTTCTAGAAGGGCTTATCCATTTGCAATTTACGCGAATGCATCAATTTATATTATTTAGCATTACAAATGAATTTCAATAAACATTTTAAGTTGTAATAACACATATTTGATATAAACCTTGAGCAAATACTTCAAAGATGTATGATTTTTATAAATTAAGAAGTGTTGGGGAATGCGAAATAATAGTAGTACTAGCAATAATCCCCGAAAATGGGGGTGCTCCGTGGTCTAAAAATCTGCACATTTCTTTATTCTAAAAAACCACATTCATTGCTTTTGGTAGTTAACTCTAACTTAGTATTTGAGCAAGATCGTACTCTACTCAATACGCCATGCGTTAAGCAATCCTATTGCTAGGGTCTTGAGACTTATTTATTGTTATTGCGAACGCTACAATAATTTTGAATTGGCGACGTTTAAATACAAAGGCAAGTGTTGATTCGCTGGGCTGTTAATTAATATGGGATAGTATAATTCGAATCACATGTTTTAAGTCCATCAACGGGTTGTATATGTGCATTTTAGTATTGCGGCATCCAAACAATTACATTGTAATTCTTTAACTATTAGGCGAGACCATTAACTAACCCTTCATATGTACATATTTAGATTGTGGATTAGCATCACAACTGCTCTAACTTTTAGTATCAAGTCATGAGTTGGAACTCCTCTTCTTCTACTGGCTCCTGTGGATATTCAGAAACGACAGTAGATATCGACGCCATTTCTACTACGGACAACATATTAACTACTATCGTACAGTGCTTATTTTTCCGACGCGAAGTTGATCGATCCTTCAAGTGGTTTTGATTAATTACACCAGCCTGAGGTTTAAATAGCCAATCGGCTAAATCTCGCAAAATAATCTCTGGTGGCACTAATCTTAATTTTTGAGTCTGGGGAGAGTTCTCGCTCTTCTGTAACCCGCAAGAGAAAACTGAAATAACCATATTCTCTGAAACGCATATTTATCGAGAGTTTAAAATACTTTACCGTTCCCTCAGTTCACCCGCCAGGATTTTTTTAGGTTTTTCAGCATTTTAAAACCATATAAAATTGAAAATAAAGAAATGAAATTGTTCAAAATTGGTGAAAATTGGAGAATACGTGTGTGAGATTCAGTTTTACATTTTAAAATTGCTCAATGTAAAATTTTATGGTCTTTCCGTGCAAATATGTACCTACATCGAATGATTCCTAAATCTGAAATGTTAGTGCAAAGTTTCAGATTCAGCATCTTAATTTGAAAGTAAATTGTCTCTGTACGATTATATATAGATACATATGTATATAGATTTATAATACAAATAGAACCATATTTGCCTCAGAAATACATCGAAATAAATCATGTCAGATTTATACATATATGGGTATCTGTACAGAGGCAAAAGCATAATTTTTGTTTTGCAGATCTTTCGCTGTATCACATTCGCATGAACGTAGCAATGCTTTGCTCGATATGAAACAAAAACAGGGACGAAAACGAATAAATGGAACATAGCAATGCTCAAATCAAAATAAAACGCACAGTCCTGCAGCGGTGTTGTTGTTGATACTGTGTGTGAATCAGAGACCTGCACTGACTGAGTAAAACACAACGTTGAGCTGCTTGCATAAACAGACGGCAGCGTTGATCCGCATCAACTCGGGAATTAACTGCAGTTGATCCGGATTAAGTCCCATTTAAACCGGATAAACGCTGCCGTCTGTTTAAGCTTTAAAAGTGTGAAGCAAGCGAAATAATCACGGAGAGTAAGCAAGTGTGAATGGCGCTCACTTATTGTTATGAAGGAGAGAGCCCCGGCTTGTGAGCTTGTGCTGAGCAAGCACTCACAAGCAGTGTTGCCAACTTTTCCTTTTCAAAAAGCACCAAAAACTTGGAAAAAAAGCGTTTTACCAAACTAAAAGCACCAAATTTTTTTTAATCAAAGGATGCTTTTTTCATAACAGTTTGTTTTTAACAAAAACAAAAAAATTAAAAATATTTACAAGGATGCATACATAAATTAATAAACAAAACTTTTTCGCTCATAACGATTGAAAAGCCACATGCTATAATGACCCATGCTTACGACGTAATACCGAAGTACTGCACATTAAAACTGATATATCTCAAGAAAGAAAAATCGAATCCCAACAAACGAAAATCATGCCCTAAGTAGAAATGATAAAAAAAATTTATGTTTTGATTATATAACCTCAAATATCGCAAAAACACGTGTTCTTCGTAATCTGGGGGTAGAATATCTAAAAATTCTAGTACTAGAGCAATTGTGCGGCCAGATTTGGATTCAGCACCAAGAAACGATGTGTTTTACTCAGGTGGTACAAAAATAAAAATTTTTACAAATAATTAGAAAAGAAAAAAAGAAATACTTAACTTACTCGCATATCTACTAGCATTTTCAAGGCGAATAGAATTGAACAAGGTGGGTTTACAAGTTCAGCTTTTTATCAATCATGGTTGTATTTAAATGCATTTAAATTTGTAGATTTTTGTAAATTCAGTGCTGCCACAGCTTTGAATATTTAAAAATTATTTCAGGTCTTAACTATATCGGAGTAATTTGAGTTCAAAAAAAGCAGTAAAAAAGGCACTAGGCACTAAATAATTTTTTTAGGCGTTTTAATTTTCAAAAAGCACTAAATCTAGTGCTTAAAGCACCAAGTTGGCAACTGTGCTCACAAGTGTTTGGCTTATGAGCTCCAATTCATATTGCTCACTGGCTTCGTTTCGCTTACAATTATGAATCTGAAAGGCTTGTGAATAAACGCAAGATCTCATTCGCTCGCAAGCCACTTACGCCATTTGTGTAGTTGCGCGTGAAGCAAACGCTAGAAAAGAAAGTTGTATGGAAATTAAGTGCAAGGAACTTTTTTTTAGCAAATACGAGTTTAAAAATTGCTTGATTATAAAGCCCTAGGTATAAATCTGAAGCATTTTTAATACAAATGAATTATGTTTTTAAAATTTAAACTCTTTGACCTAAGTGGACAGCACGAATGTAAAATCAGGTACTACTTGTTCGTATCGTAGTTTTTTTGCTTATTATGTATGTATGCATGTATTTAGGACGGTTTTACTTTCTTGTTTTGTAATTATAGTTTTTATGTTTCAACTTAAATTGTGGCGGGAGTGAAAATTTGTGCATCGGTATAAAAAGTAATCGTAATATATTTACTATTCTATCAATAAATATTTTTACCTAAAACTTATAGCCATATTCATAAAAAATAAAGTAGCTTTAAAAAGGTTTATGAATTGAAAACATCAATTTATAAAGCTGTTTAAACCATGATATAAATTAAGGTAGTTTCAGTAAACAACTTTTTTATGGATAATGGGAGTTTTGAAGCTTCATAATTTGTTCATGAGGCAATTGATGTTTTCATTCATAAACCTGTTTAAACCATGATATAAATTAAGGTAGTTTCAGTAAACAACTTTTTTATGGATAATGGGAGTTTTGAAGCTTCATAATTTGTTCATGAGGCAAATTTGTTAATATTTAAAAATAAATTAGAAATTAAGTTTAAATATTTTAGTCAATATAATCGATAATGGCATCCTACTTACGTTTATGGTATTTCTCACCCCAACCCCAAACTAGAAATTAATCTATGTGTTATGTTGCGGTAACATTATTAAAAGATTTTATTTAATAAATTCAACAAACCCATCAAGATGTAATTTTTCTGATCTTATTTTCATATTAATTGTGTTATCTTTTAACTTCAGATTTAAATGTCGAATTCACTAAAGGAAGCGCTGGAAATTTAAAAACATTTGTACCGTCTTCCTGGGAGTGGTATTTTGTATTTTTGCAGTATTTTTTTATTATTTTAAAAAATTATTTTGTTTTTTGCTATGCCAAGTTTATTTCAGAAAAAAATTATATTATAATTTTCAATCTGGTAGCTAGATTTTGATGAAAATGACAAAATACCAGCAAAAGTTAAATGGCTAGCATGGCTGCTAATGTCATTAAGTGAGACTACCTTCTTTTTTCTACCATGCCCTAAACCTACATTATTTTTTAAGAATAAGGCCATTAAAAACCCAAAAATTCAAATAAAATGACGTTCAAGAAATTAAAAAGAAATTTGTTTCTATCAAAATTTCTTAAATTACCTCTCAAGAATTATATGCTCGTTTAGTAAGATAATTTACAGTAACGGTCAAGTAGGTACTTTTTCAAGCAGCAGAAATAATGAAAAATATTTGTCGTGATTTTTATTGACTGCCGTATTGTAAGTATAGAGTACAAAACACTTCTATTATATTTTATAACAAGGATTTTGTGGCTAAACAACAATGACCACATGTAATGAAATAAAGATTTTTTTTTCGCTCATTTTTTACTTATCTACATAAATATTATTCTAAAACAAGGCGCTTATTCCCAGCGATCTACAATTATACATCAAATTAAAGTGCTTGATCTGAAGCTTTGCACCAACTCTTCACATTTAAGATTCATTGAACCACTTTCCAAATATTTGCGTCGAAAGCTTTTACAATGTTTACATTGAGCAAATTATTGCTACGTTCATTTCGATAGGCAGCGTCTCAGTGGGACATAAGAGAAAGAAAAATAGTTCCATTTATTCGCTTTCGTCCCTGTTTTTGTTTCATATCGAGCAATGCATTGCTACGTTCGTGCGAATTAGGTAGCGATACAGCGGTAGATCTGCAAAACAAAAATGTTGCTTTTGTCTCTGTACAGTGTAAATTTATTTTCAATTTTGTATAATTTTAAAATGCTGGAAAACTTAAAAAAGAAATCCTGGCAGACGAACTGAGAGAACGGTAAAGTATTTTAAACTCTCCATATATACGCGTTTCAGAGAATCTGATTATTTCAGTTTTCTCTTACGGGTTAGAGCACTCTCGCCGGTCTCAAAAATTAAGATAAGGGCTGCCTTTCTTTATACATTCCGGATAATCTCATTTCACAGCCGGAATAAACAGAATGCGTTTGAAATATACGTTAACATATCATCAGGAACTTTCTTAAGAATAAGTAAACGAAAAAGTGTATTCCAAGCGTTCAGAATGAATAAAGAAATGCAGCCAAGATTTTTGTACTGAAAATTTGTAGTTAACTACCCATTCTGAGTAATTAATCAAACCCACTTGAAGGATCGATTAATTTCGGGATCAAAAAATAAGCACTGTACGATACTTAATAAAGATATGGTTAATATGTTGTACGTAGAAGAAAATGTTTACTATGGCGTCGATATCTACTGTCGTTTCGGAATATCCACAGGAGTAGGGAGGTCCACCTCATGACTTGATACTAAAAGTCGGTGCAGTTGTGATGTTAGTCCGCAACCTAAATATATACATATGAACTGGTAGTTAATGGTCTCGCCTATTAATTAATCCCAACGGCTTTTTACCCTTCATTCCCGCCCAACCGACACGAGGGGCGCATTCCGCATGACGTACGGTTTTTTTTTTGTTTTTTAGTTTTTTGGTGCCGAGTAGTGGAAACAGGAGTTTGTTAAGTGTCGAAATCTAAAACTATTCATCTAAATAATCAAATTCATCAGCAGATTGGATATGCTAAAGATAGTATTTCAATTATTAGAGTGGGAATAATAGTTTTGTTCATAGTAAAAATCGAGTCCGATATGTCAAACCAGCGTTTGAAAATGCTCCGCTCTTTGCCAGTTTTTATGTTTGCTCTTGCTATCGGTCTTGATTTAAAGAAACCATTAGCAGAGCAAGTAGCACAAAACGCGAAGAGTATTTGTATTTCTCGGCTCCCGACTGGGTTTCGTTGTACTACTACCCAGATGAATAAGGCAAAAAAACGAACAATGTGCTGTTTGGAGTCGTAGCAAATGAAAAGCTGTGATAGCGGTTTGCAGCATAGCAAAGCGAAATTTTTGCTACTGCTATTGCTATCGCTACGGGAGTCGTTGAATTGCTCTCGCAGCTGCTACAAATGCTCAACTGGTTTTTCGTTTGCTTTTGTACAGTCGTTATTGATCTACTAAAAAGAAGACATGCCGCCGCAGAAGCATAATTTTATTATGGGAAATTACTTTAATTTTACTGACGAGGGGGTTTGCCATGGTTTCTTCGGCAAATTTGCTTAGAACTACACGTAGAATGCTCCTGTGCTATACGCGCATAGTGGAAAAAACCTCCCATACAAATTGACCCGCCGTAATGTACATAGATATGCAATATACAAGTACATAGGATTTTTATGGATCATTCCACGTGAAAACGCATGCGGCTCTGCCCATAAATGGTGGAGAGCTATTGTTATTTTTAAAATGTGAAAAGTTAGTTATTTTTATGTAGAATCGAGGGTTAAGTAGAAGTCGGAAGAAAATTACTTTGAAATTTTAGACAACTATTTATCCTCTGCGATAGCACCTATAAATGAAGCAGTAGATGTTTATACGAAAATAGAAACATTGAAGCTACCTTACATGAAAGCTAATATTAATGTTTTAAACTTCTGGAAAGAGAGGCAGTTAAGTGATCCACCCACTCAAGTATGTAAAAATAATATTTGAATTTCCCAATAAAATGTTATAATTTTTCTTTTTTCTATGGTCACAATAGAAAGGGCGTTTTCTTCCCTGAAATTAGTCCTAGCTG